CACCCATGTAGCTGTCGGACAAGTGTGAAGCAAAGGCGTGCGGTGCTAGGTGCGTGCCACAATTACGACTCGCTCTCGCGTAACTGCCGCAACTCGTAGTGCGAATTTGCTCGGCGCTAAGGCGCGAGCCACATGATGAAAGCCCCCCCCGTCCATCCGCGGAGCTGGTGGAAGTTACGAGGAAGCCTCATGTGAAACACTAAGCCCGCTCCACCGACGCGCCTGGTGGTGCGACAACGGGGAGTTAACGAGGGAGGCGGACGATGGGAAGCAGGACGCACATCAACAATAGTTAGAGCACAATGGTGGAACACTGTATGGCATGTGCCAACCGGTGGAAATAAGCACGCACGTGGCAGAGAGGCACATTGGCATCTTGGAAGGGGAGGACTTGTTCCAACAACAAACGGCGCCATACCATGAGTTTGTTTCAGCAAGTTGCACACGTACGCCATCTTATGAGTGGATGGGCCAGGTGCTCTGGCGAAGGGCGTCCGAGCAGCAAACTTTGATTCTATAGGCTTACGCAACATCCGCCGACCCCTTGATCGGCTTGGGGATGTCGTGTTGCTATCCTGGGGCGTACTTGTGTTGTCTTGTTTCTTTGGGTGGGCGGGCTCGAGGCTCTTCGGGGCCATCTCCGAACGAGTCCGGGGGCATGTGGGGCCGTCCACGGGACGAATCTTACACGTCTGGAGGCCCCGAATGGGGTTGGCGGATGCGGGTTGCATCACATGTGTCCAGACACGCGACACGGCAGTGATCCGTGGCGGTGGTGATGGTGATTCGTGGTGGTGGTGATGGTGATGGCGGCGGTCATGGTGCGGGTGATGGCGATAATGATGCTGGTGGTGATGTTGTTGATGCTGAGACGCGGAGATGGTAACATCGTACCGAACAGGAGAAAGTGCAGGAGGAAGAAGGGGAGGATGGGGGAGAGGCGGAGGAGGGTCCTCGGAGGAGGTGGAGGAGGAGTGACGATTTCGGGAAAATGCCTGTCAACACCCGCGCCCATAGACGGCATGCGGCGGCCCAAAATCTGGACGAGTCGTTGTCGAATGGGACGCGGCGCATCCCGCCACCTTGCGCGGGAGACAGGTAGGCGGCCACACGGATGGTGAAGAAGATCTCGTGCGAGGCCTGACGGGGTCGTCTTGCAGGTAGGTTTGGGGCCTCTTGGGGACTTTCTCGTGGCTTCTTGGAGGCCTCGGAGGTTTTCTGTGAGGTCCCGCAGGCCCTTTTGGGGTGTTCTTGGAGCAGGCTGGGAGCGCCTTGGAGCCGAAGGCTCGAAGAAGGTGCCCTGCGGACTCCGTGTTGGGGCCGTCTGGGGGCCCTCCTGGGCTGTCCTGGGGGCTTCGTGGGCTGTTGTTGGACCCTCATCGACCCTGCTTTGGGGCCCCTTTGGTCGTCTGGGAGCGATGTTGGAGGTGTCTCTACTTGTCGTGGACGCTGTGAGCAGCAAACGCTGATATCCCGAAGGCGGCAAAAGCATGTCTAAGCGAACATGAGGGGGAGGAGGAGGCGGGTAAACGGTGACACGGCGCAGCAAGAGGGGGATGATGAGGACATCTGTGGTGGAGCAGGTTGCATGAGGCTATGCATGAGGATTGGCAGCAGGAAGTGGATGGAGAGGGGAGGGGACAGGGGGGGGGGGGATTGGATGTTTGTTCTATCCTGGTTTCCTTCCTGGATTTCGGCCTCTGGGGCCCGTTATTGGGCCCCAGAGGCCAACAGCCATCAGAAGTGAATCCAGGACGACTGAAACTGCCCCCCCCAGGGAATTTGGGGAGTTCTTCGCTGTTTTTGAGGGTCGCCCAAGACAGTCGCTCGAGGACTTTGGTGATCGTTGTTTGCTCCCGCGGGCTTGGGCCTCTCGCGGCGGCGGCAGAAGGCGGTGCCGATAACAAAGGGCACGAGCCGCCCACAGCGAGTTGAGAGGCGAGTGTCAACAACAAAAAGAGAATGGGGTCCCGAGCTCGGGGGCGGGGGGGAGGAGGAGGGGGAGGAGAAGGAGGAGGAGGAGGAGGAGGAGGAGGAGGAGAAGAGGATGTCTGGGAATGGCGAAGCCGATCGGCGACTCGCCCTGCTTCCGTTTCTCCGAAAGGGCGTTGCGGCCGCGTTTTTTTTTCGGGCCCAACAGGGGTCCCCCGATCGACAAACGCGATGCGGTAGTAGCGTTTTGCGCGCTCGTGTGTTGGCCCCCCCCGCGGCCCCCCAAAAGCCGCGCACCAAAGGTCACTCTGACCCAGGGTCACTCTTGCGTGTAGCCGATAATCGGCGTTTTGCTGAAGTGGGTTCTGCCCACCCCCAAACACATCTATCCAGGACTCCTGTCCAATCTGGCGGGGGAGAACTAAGGTTGGATAGCGATCGTGTTCTTATTCACTGTTTTGCCAATCGGCGTGGGCCCGTGCATCCCCCTCCCATGGAGCAGATCTTGGCTGTTTTTGGCGCCTGTCGCAAGCAGGCGGAGTCCCCCCCCTATAGGACGCACTGTTGCAAACAGTCGCATGAAGCAGAGGTCCAGAGCCAGGTTCCTCCCCCCCCTCCCCACTCTTCCGCTCAAGGTCGAAACGCCGAATGAGAACATGTTCGCATCGTTTTTCGGCCCACGACTGCAGCCTCCCTGGGTGCGGCAGCGTCCTGGCTTGAGGGCGGCATATCAAATCAGAAACCAGCCTACAAGCAGGTAGGTTGACGATGAGCAGAAGCAAACAGCTGTCGGACCCAAAATCTCCCCAGACTACAAGACAGAACAAACATGTGGGCCTCAGTGGCTAATGAAGGCGACTTCCCGCTGAGAGGGGGCCCTGTAGGCGGGGGGCGCACAAGGAGACGGGGTCGCACACGGAAGAGGCGGGACAAGGAGAGGGGAGGCGTGGGGGGAGGTGGGGAGGTTCCTGAAGTTGGAGGAGGAGAGGGGAAAACAGGAGGGGAAAGTGAGTGACGGAGAAACAGGGCGAGAGGGACGCTGAAACGTAAGGACGAGGTGGAGGAGGATGAGGAAGCCTCTTGGTCCGTTTCCGCGGTGGTGCTAGCTGCCATCGTCATTGTCGTTGTCGCCTCGTCTGCTGATACGGCTCGGCCCTCAAACCGCAAAGAGCGCTGACCAGCCCTTGTGACTGACCGGCCCCCGCCAAGCGGACGCTGTAGGGACTTCGGGCTGAGCTGCTTTCTCTGCCGCACGCCTCCGCGCTGCTGGGTCGCCCAGGAGCGTGCGGCTCCGCTATCGGGGGCCTGTCGCCGAACTGCCGGGGAATGGACGGAACACCGATCGATCGACGATCGATCGGCCCGTTCCCCAGGGCCGGTGCTTCGCCCCGCGTCGCTTTGTGGCGGCCCGGGGCCAGGGGCCCATCAGGGAGGGCACCCACCCAGGGGCCGAGAGGAAGGCGAGAAGGACGCCCGTCGGGCTTCTCGTCACGACCCGAGGTGGCCCGGGCTTCCTCTCCTCCCTCCTCGTGAGCTCCCGCCTCCCTCATCTCGGGGGCACGATGGTACCAAACAGCTCTCAAGCTGTGATTGCGCAATTTTTCCGCCTGACTCTCAGACGTGTCTTGCGGCTTCTAGATTCGCGCCTCGGTGGCTACGGTTCGCAGCACATTCGCGCAATGATGCATGCATGCGCACCTGCACACCTGCAGCAATCACGAGCTGCAGTGGCAACGATGCTCGGTCCCCCGGGAGGCCCCCCAAAGAGCGAAGAAGCAAGGTACGCATGCCGCTACCCTTGCCTTTTCCTCCTTCGGGGGCCTCCCGGGAGGCCCCCGTCGCCACCAATGGATTCGCCTCCCTTGGGCTTCCCCCGTCCTCCCTCCTCGCGAGCGCCTTGTCCCCTGAGATCTGACGTTGCGAAAGAATTGAAACAGCGTGGAACATCACGACTAGGAGCACAGGGCCCCATCCTTCTGCTGCACTTTTCGAGCCAGATCGATCTGCGAGGGTTCTGTGGCCCGAGACTGGGCGAAAGCGCCCGTTTTGAAAACATTGCAACGCCAGGATCTCAGGACGTCCTCCCTCCTCGCGAGCTCCTCCTCCTCCCTGGCCGCTTGGTACGCGCTAGACGCGCTGCCTGCAGGAGCGAAACAAAGGACGTAAACGTACTGACGTACAGGAACCCGCGTTGGTTTCGAGAGCACGCGCTGCGCGATGTTTCGTTTCACGCGGCTGGTCTCGCGGATGGGGGGGCCGGGTTCATGTACGTGGGTGGGCGCGTACGTCCTTCTCGTGGGGGCTCTCTGTCCCTTAGGCCCGCGCGCCGCGGCGCGCGCGCGGCGCGGTGAGGGCCGAAACAACGCGCGCCGTTGGCGCGCGGAAGGCCCGCGCGCGCCAACGGCGGGGGCGCGCGGGGGCGGCGGCGGAAGCCGGAGCACAGGGGGGGAACCGGTGCGAGTTGTGCGTGCGGGGGGAGGAGGAGGAGGAGGAGGAGGGAGGAGTAGGAGGAATAGGAGTAGGAGGAGGAGGAGGAGGAGGAGGAGGAGGAGCAGCAGGAGGAGGAGGAGGAGCAGGAGGAGGAGGAGGAGGAGGAGGAGGAGGAGGAGAAGGAGGAGGAGGGAGGAGGAGGAGCAGGAGGAGGAGGAGCAGGAGGAGGAGGATGAGGAGGGATCTCGACCCTCTGGACCTCTTCGCCGCGACCAGCTCCTGGCTCCGAGCCGTCTCCAGGCGGCCGCATGCCGGGCCAGGAGCAGCGGCTCACGCGGGGCCGACCACGCCGAAGAGCCAGCCGCCGCGGCTCCCTGCGGCGCCCGGGTCTGACGGCCTCCTGCGGCCGATCTTCGACCGGCAATTCGTAGCTGAATCAAGCTCCGAGAGTCCGACCCGCTGTTTTCTATCTTTCTCTTCCATCCGGCCGCACTCCCTCCCCCCTGAGCTCCAGCGCCGCGAACCGCAGCCCGACATCGGATGGCGCTGGGACGAGGAGGAATCCGTTCCAGGGAGTTCCGGAGCGCTCTCAGAGCGTGCCGGGACGTTCCGAGAAGGCCGCGGTGCCAGAGGCATCCTCCAGAGCCGCTGGACCTCACAGATTCTCGATTCGTCCTCGCCCGGGTGTGACCTCGCCCTGGCTTCGTCTTACAACATCGCGAGAAGTCACGACCCGAGCCCCTTCGGTGGCAAATCATGGGAGCCTGGTATACCCTCTGAATTCCGCCGTTCGCATTGACCAGCGTCGATTGGCGCCTGGAGTCGATGAGCTAGCGCCGATGTGGCGTCGGTTAGCGTCGATAAGCGTCGATTTGGCGCCGATGATTGCGTAGATTCGCAGGAGCCGACAAGATGGTATGGGAGGCTCCCACCCAACTTTCTCCACACGTGGCCGCTCTCGAGCCAGACCGCTCTGGGAGGGCCCCATGGGGCCCGACAGCGCGAGGGGGGAGACGCCCGGCGCGGGGAGCCGATGGCAGCAGGGCTCGAGCCAAACGGTGTTTCTTGCGATTGCGTGGGCCGCTTTCGTTCCGACATCGCTATGCGGCAGAAGGCGGACCGAAGACACAACGAGGGAAAACGACAGCGAAACGAAAACGATAACCACTGTCATCAGGTCGATGCCTGGATTGCAGCGCCCGGGGTTTCGGGCAACCGCCGCGGCGTCCTGTGCGGGCGCCCACGCTGCCGCGGCCCCCGCGCGCCCTGCGTGGGGTGAGGCAGCACGTGTAGCGAGCAGCGCTGCCGTCGAGCTGGACTCAAGGCAGCCTTCCCTGAGGTCTGGCGTCTCAAGTGTTTTCGAGCCGGGCGTGTTGGCTTTTTTTCGGGCCCTGGGACCCTCACATATCGATCCGGCTCGAACAATGGCGCAGAGAGATGGGGTCTAGGGCTCCGGTCGTGATGTTTCACGATCTTTCATCTGTTGCGAGGCGTCGGGTCTCAGGGTTTAGTCTAGGCCCCCGAGATGAGGCCTGAGTAGACTGGGTCGGAGGAACGCGCCGCATCGCCGATGCATCGGCGATGCGGCTCGATGTGCAGCTCGAATTTCTCCACGCCGACGTCGCCGACGTATCGCCGACGTCGCAGACGCATCGGCGATGCGGCGCGATCCTTTGGCCCTATCTTCCTGGATTCCACTTGGGAGGCCACGAGCTCCTGACGTCCTCGAGTCGTCGACAGGTCGGTTTCTGGTCACTTTCGGTTTCTGGGGCCCTCAACGGCCACGGGGACCCACCCCATGCAGGATGAGAAGCGTGCCCTGGGGAGTTGACTACACTCGAGAGTTCCCCTTCGTCAGCGTGACCTTCGGTGTGGGCTCGTCGGGGTCCCCGCGATCGCTGGGCGCGATTCGATAGCGGCTGCTGGCGTGCTTGGATTTGGCCGCCTTGCGCCCCCCCTCTCTCCACGCACCAAGTATCTCTCTTGCCCAGGGTCACTCTTTTCGGGGGAGCGTAAGACCCGGGTTTGCCAGGACTCGGGTTCGCCATCGTTTTTTGACGGCCGCGCCTCGGATTTTGACGAGGAGGAGTTTCGTGGGATGTCTGCAGCGGGAGGCCTCGGCACAATGCAGGCTCGGCCTCGTCATTTTTGTTGACGACCTCGTCGGGGATTTCCGAGTCCCCCGTACCTAGGTCTTACGTCTCCCCGATCTTTGCGTGCAGCCGAGGGCAGGGGTCCAGACTTCTGGGGAGCCACACGGACTTCATGTGGGAGGCTTCTATCCGGAGGCCCTCAAGAGGCTCTCCTAATTACGAGGCGGCCTGCGCGCGCCTGCGACCTCCCGACCCCCCCCCCTTCACGTCGATCCCCCCTTCCTCGACCCCTCGACCCCTCGATCCTCGACCCCTCCTCCTCGTCGAGTTCCTCGACCCCTCGACCCCTCGATCCTCGACCCCTCGATCCTCGCCCGTTCCTCGATCCTCGACCCCTCCTCCTCGTCGAGTTCCTCTCGTTGCGTGATATCCGACCCCGAACCAGTCAGACCGCTGGGCCGGTTTTGGAGGTCGCCTCGGCGATCGCTGCGGCCACACACCGGGGCAAGGTTTTTTTTTTCATGGAGCCGCATGCCCCTCCCCAGCCCAGTCCGCCCCCCCCCCTCCGCTCTGCGATGTAGACGTGGCTCACGAGTAGCAACCTGTAGGGGCAGAGAGCTGTCAGTTGCTGTGTCCAATAGCTGGGGAAACCAAAAGGTACCGACACCGCTACTCCCCAGACCTCTCCCGGGGTGCGTTCTGACCAGAATTTCGCGGCGAATCCAGCGGTGGCGACGAGGGCCTCCGAGGAGGCCGCAGAAAGGGGAAAGCGAGGGAAGGGCAGCGGCATGGGTACTTTTCTCCTCTTCCGATGGGCAGTGGTCTCATGCCAGTCGCCGAGGAGTCGCTTCTCACACAGCCATCCTCCGCGGCGACCCGTGCCGACGCCCGCGCCAGCGGCACCCTCTGCGCGACCTCCTCCCTGGGGCGGCGCGCGCGCCCCGCGCCCCCCTTGCCGGCGGCGGCCCCCCCGCCGCCGGCGAGCGCACGATGCTCGCGGGCGCGCTCCCCGGCGGCGCCGTCCCCGGGCGCGGCCCCCGCCGGGGGGGGGTCGGGGCAACGCTCGAAGCTGGAAGACAGTCGACAGGATCGCGTGGTGCAAAAGTCGGGGCTGGAGGCTCTGGGTCATCGTCGGCCTCGGGGTGGCCTCGGGATGCCTCGGGACCGTCAAGGAGCGACTCAGGATGAAAAGCCGGTCCCGGGGAAAGGGTCGGGACTTCCAGGGATTCCGTATTGAAAAAAGTCAGAACGTCGCATGTTTGGTGTCGGACCGATGTGTATGATCGTCGGTTCGGGAGGGTACTCATTTTCTTGTGTTTGCGGGATGTTTTTGTGCCTCCTATGAGAAGGATGCCCTCGGATGTTCTGTTTGTTTGGCCGATGGAGGGTCTCATGTTCTTGACGGATGTTCATCTGGCCTAGGTCCGACTGCAGGTGATCCCCAGAAATCCGCAGTATCGAATAGAGCAAGACGAAAACGTTTTGCCGTTTTCGACCTCTGAGGGCCTTCGCCCAGCCCCAAGACCGCCAACGACTTTCTCGGGGCGAAAAAACCGCCCTGGGGAAAGGGCCTGAACTTCCAGGGGTCCTGTTACAGTCAACCCTCCGAATAGTTAGGATGAGCAGTCAAGGTTCCCTTGCATCCTTGCCCCTCCGGCCCATCCTTTGCGACTGTCGCTGGCCAACCTCCCTCGAGAAAACGTTAACATGGCCTCCAAACGGCCCTTGCAGCCTTACTGTACCGCGCATCCTCATCATGCGGGTCGACTGTCGGATGTCTGGGGAAACAAGACATCGGATGTCTGGGTCTGGCTCAGATGGGGTCGGCGGCGGGCGGAGCAATCGTGCATTACTATCCTGCGCTTTTGCGCGCAATAGCACACAGCGTTGTTGCAGGGTGGGTGTGGGGGGCACGAACGATGGCACGGGCGACATCGCTTGCATACGATGACGGATACAAACGTGCATCCGCGCTCAGCCGGCGAGCAATTTATTGCACCCAGGCGCCAGCCATTGCAAGTGTTTGACGTTGCGCAAACATCAGGCGGAAGTTTGGCTTTGTCCTGCCCTTTCTCTCATTCTCAGTGTTTGGCTCTCTCTCTCTCTGTCGATATTGTTTACTCTGTCACTTTGTTTGGCTTTCTCTCTCTCTCTCTCTCCTATCCGCGTCTGGGTATTGCCAGGTTGTGTTTGGGTGGTCATCCTGGGGCCACAAAGCAGGTAGAAGGCTGCCGCAGTGCGGGGTGGGCGCCCTTGGGGCAGCAGCCACCCCCCGCTTCGCTGATTTCGTTTCCCCGTCCTCCTCCCCCTTCAGCCACCTCTCCTCCTCCCTCCTCGCTCCTTGTGCTCCTCCTTTCTTATCCTTCCCTCCTTTCTTTTCCTTCCGCCCTCCTCCATCGTTCTCCCATCCGCTCCCACTTTGCCGCTTCTTCTGCCTCCTCGTCCTTCTGGTCCTCCACGTCCTCCTCGGTCTTCTCGTCGTTGTCGGTGCCCCCTTCGTCGTCGTTGCCGTCTTTGTCGTCGCCGTCGTCGTCGTTACCATCCTCCTTCTCCTCTTCCCCCTCATCCTCCTTCTCCTTTACCTCCTCCTCCTTTGGCGCCTCCTCTGATGCCTCTTTCCATGATGCAGCCTGGCAGACCACAGGCGGGCTCGGTGCAAAAGTCGCCTTCCCCTCCCGCCCGCCGCCCTCGCTGGGTGCTGCCGTCGCGGTCCCGTGCGACTGCCCGCCTGCTCCAGCCACTGGTGGCCCCGAGCCCGAGCCCGCCGGGCACCGCCGCGCGGGGAGGGGGTCGGACGGAAGGTGGGGGGGCAAGACGAAGCCAGGGGATTTTCGACGAGCAATAAAAATACCCCAAAGATACCCAAAAAGGGTCAAACAAGATTCAAAGAATAGTCCCCAAGCTATGTTTGGATCATTGTTTGATTATGTTTGGGGTATCTTTTATTTTTCGTCGAAAATCACCCTGTAGGGGGACAGGCCCGACCTACAGCCAGGGTGAGGATAACATCGGGCGAGAAAAAATGGAGAGTCTCTGAGATTCGGCGGCTCCAGAGGAGGTCTCGGGCACCGCGGCTTCTCCGAGCGTTCCAGAGCGCTCTGAGAGCGCTCCGGCACGCTCGTCCCAGCCCTGGAGAGGGAAGGGGAGAAGGAGGAGGAGGAGGAGGAGGAGGAGGAGGAGGAGGGGGAGGAGGAGGGGGAGGGCTAGGAGGAGGGCGAGGTTGAGGAGGAGGAAAAGGAGGGAGGAGGAGGAGGAGCAGGATGAGGAGGAGGAGGAGGAGATGGAGGAGGAGATGGAGGAGGAGGAGGAGGAGGAGGAGGAGGAGGAGGAGGAGGAGGAGGAGGGCTGCCCATCCAGCGCATCGAGAAAGCCAAGGCGGAGGTTCTTCGGCCCCCTGGGGCCCTGGCCGAGCCCCCGGGACCGCCAGGCGCAGCCCAGGACGAAGCGCTGGCGGGGGACGGGTCGGGACCGCCGGGGAGCGAATGGTTGGGAGAATCTCTTTGGGGAGGGGGGGGGGAGGGATAAAGCATAACTTCTCGAATGCT